ACAAACTCAGGGGTTTAAAACAACATAAATTTGTTTTCTCATAGTTCACTGGAGGCCAGAAGTCCAAAATCAGTATTACTCAGCTGAAATCAAATTGTTGGCAGGGCCCTTCATCCTATAGAACTTCTTGGGGAGAATCTGTTCCTTGCCTTTTCCTTTCCTGTGGCTGCTGGCATTCCTTGGCTTGTGGCTGCCTCTCTTTTATTAAAGACACTTGTGATTGCATTTAGAACCCATCTGATAATCCAAGAAAATCTCCCCATCTTAAAAGCCTTAACTCAATCACATCTATAAAGACCCTTTTTTCATGAAAGGTAACATTTATATAGTTTAGGGATTAGGACCTGATGTCCTTCGGGGAGGCCATTATTGAGCCTACTACAACACGGTATGTGTGCGTGTGTGTTTGCTTCAAAATGTTCATGGAAAGGTTTGTACTATCTTTTAATTCTATTTTTCCTTTGAAGTGCCCTCATAATATTTACTTTGTGCCAAGCTGAGTTCTAAGTACTTTAAATGTATCAACTTATGCTCACAACAATCTATGAGATAGGTGCTATTATTTCCATTTTTCAGATGGCAATGCTGAGGCAGAGAAAGGTTATAATAATTTGTCCAAGCCATATCATGTGTTCTTTGACCACAATGCAATTAGTTTGAACCAATAACAAAAGATCCTTTTTAACTTCCTATTTTGAAATTCTGTCAGATTTACAGTAAATTTGCAAAACAGTACAAATTCACATACACCTTCACTAAGATCCTCTAAATGTTAACATTTTACCACATTTGTTCTACCATTTCCCTTACATATATTTTTTCTTTATCTTTTAATATTAAGTTGCATATACAATGTTCCATTGTCCCTAAATATTCCTGTGTATTTCTAAAACACAAGGACTTTTTCTTAAATAATCACAGCACCATTATCAAAATTAGGAAATCAATAGTGATACAATGCTGATTAATTTATAGACCCTACTCAAATTTTACCAATTGTCACTAAAATGTCCTATAGAGCAAAAGTTAAAAAATTTTTTTCTTAACCAGGACCTAATCCAGGATCATGTGTTGCATTTAGCTGTCACACCTCTGTAATATCCTTTAACTTGAAACTTTTGACAAGTATAGGGTGGTAATTTTATAGAATATTCCTCAGTTTAGTTTCTTCTAATATTTCTTCTTGACTAGGTTCAGGTTATGCATTCCTGGCAGGAATATCACATAAATGGTGTTTTGTCTTCAGTGCATTATATCAGGATGCACAAAATACAAAATTGTCTTATTAATGGTAATATTAACAAGTTTTTTTAATGCATTTATAAAACTCTTAAGTTTGTGCATTTAAAAACACACTTTAAAATAATTCACAGGTCAGAGAAATCATAATGTAAAAATATTAGCAACTGAAGAGCAATTGAAACGTGTGTATAAATGTGTACACACAACAATTGTGGAATACAGCAAAGGAGATAATTCAAATAAACTTAGATGCTTATTAAGAACAGGAAAAAGGACTGAAGAATGGGAAAAAAGCAAGAGTTAAATGTCCAACTTATGAAATAAGAAAAACAACAAAATAAACCCTCAGAAAGCAGAAAATAAAAGAGATGGGTACAGAGAGTCAACAAGGCCAAAAGCTGGTTCTTTACAAAAAGAACTGCTGGCAAAATTATGAGAGAAAAGAAAGTGAGAAGATACAAGCAATATTAGGAAATGAAATATACACATCCAGCAGAGGTCTGAAAATGAGAAAATTCTTTGAATTACTTATGCTAATAAAATTTTAAAAATATATATTAAATGGGTGAACGCTTAGATTTTCTTTTTCAGAACAGACTCAAGAAAAAATAGAAATCCTGCATAGTCTAATTACCATTAAAGAAACATAATCAGTAGTTAAGTCTTCCCACGAATAAATACTAGTGCCAGATTGTTTTACAAAGACTTTCAACAAATAGGGCTAGCTGGTTAGCTCAGTTGGTTAGAGCACAGCCTTATAACACCAAGGTCATGGGGTTCATGATCCTCCTACCGACCAGCTGCAAAAAACAAAAAAAACCCAAAACAAAAAATCCTTTCAACAAACAGATCATTCCAATCTTTTATGAATTCTTTTAGAGAACAGTAAAATAGGCAACACTTCCCAACTCATTTAATGAAGTTATTATAATCCTGATTCCATAATCAGACTCAGAAAGTGTAAGACTGCAAGCCAATTTCATAAATACAGATGCAAAAATCCCAAGTAAAATAGTAGCAAACTTAATTCCGTGTTATATAAAGATAATGAAATATGACCAAGAATGTAAAGGTGATTTAACATTAGACAGTCATAATTAAACTATACTAAAGCAAGTGTCTGAAACACAAATCCTAAGTAAATATATCACCTATTATGTATTATGTACGTATTCCTAGCTGTTCTCAGAGCATACCAGATGTGCTTTCTCCTCTTGCTCTTTGCACTAGCTGGTCTGCCTGAGATGCTCTTCCCCCAGAGAGCTGAAAGGCTAACTCAAGACTATTCAAATGCCACCACTCACTAATGACTACCTTGAGAATGTTATTTATCACAAGCCTCCCACCTCTACCCCACACACATTGATTCCCAATCCTCTTTACCATGCTTCATTTTTCTCCATAGCAAACAGCACTTACACTACAATACTATTTCTTTTATTATTTGCTTCCTTCCTTTGTTCCCTCCCACACCCCCAAACCGTAGCTCAAATGTAAAACTCCACAGGGGCAAGGATTTTTGTCTGCTTTGTTCACTGTTGTTTCTCCAGCACCTAGAAAAGTAAATGGTTGGCACTCAATAAATGCACAGAACATATTTCTGGAAGCTTTTGTAATGCAGAAGACAAGTTTATCCTATATCCTTTTAGGATTACCATTTGTATTATCCATTTTGCTTTTCAACGACACACATAAAAAGAGAGTGGACAAAGCTGTAATACGCCATTCATCACATTAAAATTTTTTAAATCTAATGTTTGTGTTCATGCTAGATACAATGTTACATTTCTAGATGTCTCCAAATACGTCTCAACAGAAAGAAGAATTACATTGCCAACAGGAAATTTAAATTGTCTATATTTATGTTTTCTTGAAATGGGTGGCATAAATAATGCTGATCTAAAAAGAATACAGTATCACAAAGTAAAAAATTTTAAGCTAAATTAGTTTACAATGTATTTTTATGATTTGTTTTGACAGTGGTAAACTATGGGACAAAGCAGTGGAATGCACAACCGCCAAAGTCTCAGATAATTTTTGGTATCAACAGAGCTAAGAAATTGTACTACTTAAGCTTATTTCATTCCCATAAGGTATTCATAATAAATCTCCTCTTCCACACTAAGTCAGCACCATTGACATTGGTATTGGCATTGATGTTCACCTATATAAAGTTCAGTTCTAGTGTATTTCAATGCTGTAAGTATCACATGAGAACTCAGAATTCATCTCTTTAGGGCAGGACAATTTGAGGAAATGGAGACCAACAACGTTATCTTTAGAAGTTATTTATTTATTCCAAGTGCATGTGGGGCCAGCACAAGGGCAAATCAGAATGGTAGTCTTAGCGCGTTTCTGTTGCTTATAACATAAATACCTGAAACTGGGTAATTTATAAAGAAAACAAAACTTATTGCTTATAGTTTCAGATGCTGGGAAATCCAAAGTCCAGGGAACACATCTGGTAAAGGCCTTGGTGGTGGCAACAGTGACGCAGGGGTCTCACATGAAAGAAATGGCAGAGAAGAGAGAAAGAGACTCTCACATGTTCTCCTTTTAAAGCCCTCAGAACAATGCCCCTGACCACCATTATTAATACATTCACTATGGCATGGTCCTATAGTCCAATCACCTCTTCAAGGCCCTGCCTTTCAATTACTATAATAGGATTTCCCTCTCTCTTAACTCTGTCACAGTGGGGACCAAGCCTCCAACACAATAAACTTTGGGGGGACAAAATTCAATCCATAATAGGTACAAATCATTATGTGTGAAGGACAATTCTTCTAATGTTCTCTCCATGCCTATTTGACCAAAAGGACAATGAAAGAACAATAATTAAAATACAACTTTCTATGCTATTAGGTAAGCTAACTCTACATATATAATTAATACTATCTTCTACTCTACTCTCTTTGGGTTCAAATCTTATCTAGCACACTTCGGAACATAGAATCAAGCCAATATAAAATTAAGTCTAAAAGTTACACCTCACTATTTTGAAGGTTTGGAATATATAGTTTTCTCTTTTAGCATAATTTTTCTTTTCATGTGGCTGGAAAATTACATTTTCATGTCACCATCTTCATCTTTGAGTGTCAAATACAAGAGGATACTTGGATGTTGAAGCAATCAAAGCCATAGCTCAGATGTTTTGAAATCGCTAAGGGGTTCCCTTGCCAGAATTACAACTATTTTCTAACTAGAATAAGAGAAAAAGTATTTTGTATCATTTCAAGCCAATTCCTCCTCTCTCTACCACCTCTCCACCAAAACAACTACCATAACCAACCAACCAACCAACCAACCAATGTGTGAAAGCAAATAAAATACTACCCAGGTCATTGTGGTGTCACCATTCCTACAACAAAATAAGAGGAAAAAAGAGCAAATAATGTGTTTTTCATAAAGCTAAATTTATTCAATTTAAATAACTATGCTTTATTCTGAAGTTATGTTCTTCCTACTTATTAAGTGCTAAAATATCTTTTCTTTTACATAATGATGTTGATAGCAGATTGTAATTTTTTTTTTCTTTCTGTTTTTGTTTTATGTCCTTGGCTGGCAAAATTAAAAGCTAAAACCACTTAAACACCCCACTTAAAACAAAATTTTTTTTTTTTTCCCAAATTTACTGGTGCTTAAAACTCAGAGCCTAGGAATCACAGCCTAGGTAAAGGCGTACCTTCTATGCTACATACATATTTCACGGTACTAAATTGTACCAGGACAAAATTGTAGCAGGACAAAAGTCAGTCTTAAATTATACTAAGCCAGTGTAAATATGACTTTAATTTCAAGTGCCAAAGAAATATATTTTCATTCAACACCATGGTTATATCATCTTTTATTAAAACTTATTATACCAGTACCTATGCGGTGCCAATTTAAAAAGTACAATGTCATTTCCATGACATCATTACTACTTTAGGAGTAGCCTGTGTCACACAGGTGAGCAATATAGGTGCAGTGCAGAAACAAAGAAGGCTGGGGGTCTGAGCAGGCCTCTTTCCTGGGTCAGGGTTTCAGTGGCACCATAGACGACTGCCAGTCTCCATGTACATTTTGGCCCATTTACCTTTCTAAATCATACCATATATAGCTTTCAGTATTTACATACATTTAAACTGAGAAGAAATATGCATTACAAGAAAGCATATTTTAGTGGGCTTCGTGTGTTAGAAATAACTCCATACTTCACAATTACTTTTAAGTCATTAGCTATCTTTGAGAAAGAACAGTTCTATAGAAATGTATAAGCTGGAACATACTTTTAGAAAACCTTATAGAGATCTCTGTAAATTCAGTGTGTCCTCCCATAAGCAAATCAATTAATCTCCATTCCCTCAAAGTGTTAAAAACAAACAAAAAAAAGAGTAGCTGGCCATTATTTTTTATAAGTTTCAGAGAAAATACAAGAATAATGATCATTGGCATTTTGGACCAGATGAAAGTGTTGAATTTTATGTCTGACTCTATCATTCTGTGATTTGTTATAATCATGTTCTTTTCTGTTAAGCTGCTCTTGGTAATATTAGTTGTATATCTATTTGATATGAGCATTTATATTAAGCTTCAAAATAACTCCTAGTAGTATCCAAAATATGTCAGGAACTCCTAAATGCTGCTTTCCTCCCAATTAGGACAACATTTAGCCATGTTAGTAACTGTTGAAACGACAAGCGTGGATTTTGGAGATCGATGAGTGCCTTGCAGTGAACACGCACAGGCTGGGGCATCTGGCCAAGTTACTCAGTGCAGTTATCAATACTTAGTTCTTCTTGAATTTCTTCAGATAGCGAGCCCGCACAGACTTGTTGAAATCCATGATTATTTTACGATTAATCCCAGGAGGCACAAGTGAGGTTACCAAGGCCTAGGGAAAGAAATGGGGGAGATATGTAAATTACAGCCTATAATTTGTGCTAACTTAACATATGATTTAATGTTTTACTATAACTGATGTTTTATTTACAGGTAGATTTTAAAGTTCTTGAGTGTATAGTTTAAAATAAAACATAGATGCCTTGTTAATATGTCTAGACAATATATATTCTAATATATCATATACTATTTTGTGACTCAATGGAAAAGAAAACCCTACACCAAAAAGTACTGATTTAGAAATTAAAAATCTACATACCAGAAGAAAATGGATCGGGTATCCATTGGTTCGAGATTGCAGGCCTACTGTTTTAATTGCAGACTTCACAAACGTCTCTGCAGAGGGTTTATCCAAAGTTGGCTTTCGGATTTTAGCCAATTTCGTGGCTACGTAGTATGGTAGAACACACTAGAAAGGCAACACCCCACCCCCAAAACATGCCATTGGTTAGGAAAGCCACAAACTCAGAATTCATATGATGCTTGCTTACTCTTAGTGGTAGAAACATTCTAATGGAATCTAAAGTTTGTATCTTTAGAGAGAGGGAGAAAAAAAAGAAGCAGCTATTTAAAGCCAGCTTGATAAAACACATGATAGAATAAAACAAATTGTAACAAGTCAAACTATCAGAATCTGAGACTATGGAATTGTTAAAAATAAGCAGAAATATTCCTTAAATAAAAATCTAGATAGCAGAGATTCAGGATAGGATATTCTTTCTACCATGACTAAACTCAACATTGTTAGAGAACCACTAAGTAGGAGATTTTTGACATTTTTATCCTCCTAAACAAATAATACTATTTTCTCCATAATTTATGGCTAAGCTTTGTCTATAAGTTTTGTTTCTTCTAAAATAGATATTTCATTTTGTCAGCCTTGGGTTACCACTTTTCTTCCATAGTTTCTTACCATTTTGCTTCTGAATTTTATAAACTTTGCTATTAATAAGACAGGACTACCTCCCTTTTTTTTCTTTCTTTTTTTTTGGGGAGACAATATAACAATATGGAAACCACTTGGTAACTAAAAGACACCTGACAGGACAGGTGTGGGATGACAAATCTGAACCTGACCTTTTAGAGGAACTTCAACAATGTTAGATTTTTTATTGCTTATGCTTAACTACATTTTGGATATAATTCAACACAGAATGTAAAGAAAACACTGTTACAAGTTCTGAGCCATGACATAAGATTCTTTCTTTAGTCTGAAATAACTTGGGCATGGTAATTCATCAAAGAGTGAATGTGTTCAGTTTATCTCACATGTATGGAAGAAAAGGGTATAAATTACAATGATACTTCTATTAAAGATGAGGATCTGTTTCAACTCATGGTGGTCAAAATAAAAAACTTCATTACCAGAGGTAGAAATAAAGTTGAGATCTGTTTCATACTATGAATTTCCTTCCCGCTGAGATCTGGAAGGAGTGGTCCCATATCTCTTTGGGTTTTTGCTTATGTGTGTGTGTGTTGTAATTTTGTATTTTGTATTTTTCCACTCCCAAGGAATACAACCCACCCTCTTTAACAGGAGGCTGAAACTTCGTTAAGACGTTTAAGAATCAGTTAAGAATCAAGAACACAAGGGCCTGGCCACTATCACTCTACATCTTTCTCTCTCTCAGTCCCTGCAGCCACAAACCCACACTAATAAACTAACTAAATTAAATAAAGTATTTCAAATACCTAGGTCAACTTTGATTGGGTAACTTGACTTTCGAGAATTTGTTTGAATTATCATTATACATTTATCCCTCATTTAATGAACAAAATTTTTGTCAAAAATGCCTTTTTAAAAACCACTTTTAAAAATTTTAACTTATCAATATACAATGTAGTTGATTTTCATGTCCCTTTAGCAGTTCCTCTTTCCTTCCTCCTTCTCCCCCTCCCCCACATCAACATCATATCTGTTCACTTGTCTTAACAAGTTCAAGGAATTGTTGTGATTGTTGTGTCTTCTTCCCCCCCCCACCATTTATTTATTTGTATATTTATTTACTTATTTATTTATTTTTAGCTCCCACAAATAAGTGAGAACATGTATTTCTCTTTCTGTGCCTGACTTGTTTCACTTAACATATTTTCTCTAAGTCCATCCATGTTGCTGCAAATGGTAGTATTTCATTCTTTTTTATAGCAGAGTAGTATTACATTGTGTAGATGTACCAGTTTCCTTATCCACTTACCTGATGATAGACATTTGGGCTGGTTCCAACTCTACAATTAAAAGAGTGAAAAGACAACCAACAGAGTGGGAGAAAGTATTTGCAAAATATACATCTGACAAAGGATTAATATCCAGAATATACAAGGAACTTAAAAACCATTATAGTATATCGAGTACAGGCCAAAGAGATATGTCAGACTAATATAAAGTATGACATTCAGAGTTCTATGAGGCTCTAACAACGCGCAGGTAAAGAAACATTTGTTCACCAAGGAAAGCTGAACAGCAAACAAAGCAAAACACAGTATATTTGTATATACTCTGGTCTCAAATAATGAACATAAGAAAACCATTTCTCGGGGCCGGCCCAGTGGCGCACTGCTACAGTGCGCTGCTTGGGAGTGTGGTGGCGCTCCCGCCGAGGGTTCGGATCCCACATACAGACCGGTTCCCACTCACTGGCTGAGCGAGGTGCGGGCCCAACACTGAGGGTTGCGATCCCGTTGCCGGTCCTGGTCTGGTACGGGTGCGACACTGAGGGTTGCGATCCGTTGCCGGACACGAAAAAAGACAAAAAGGAAAAAAAAAAAAAGAAAACCATTTCTCATCTCTATGCCTCAGGTTTACTGGTCACAAAATTGAAGATTTTAAAAAACCATTCCCATATATGGATCACGGGCCTGCTAAAGTTTCGAGCTTCTCAACATAAAGATGGACTGATGATTATACCTTTCAATTGCATTATAATTCTTTGATCATTTCTTCTATCCATCCTTCCTCTCTCCCTTAGATAGATAGATAGATAGATAGATAGATAGATAGATAGATAGATAGATAGATAGATAGATGTAATACATTGGACTATAGTATTTTGATCCTGTAGAAGAATTAAGTTGCACCGCCTGACTGAACCACTTGATGGTGCCACAGGTTAACTCATCATTCAACTAAACCATGGAGAGAGGCTAGAGAATCCCTAGGCTCTGGGGGTGGGGACAAGAGATGCACACTCAGGAATCCCAACTAAGAAATACAAATTCTATTCTGGAAAGGACATTTATTTATTTCTACAACGGTTTAAAATCAAGGTGGTTAACAGGGCCTAGCAGAAGATGGGAAGGATTCAGAGATGAAATACCTTTTGAGCAAAGTCTTAAAGTGGAGGAGTTTGCCAGGTAAACAAAGGGAATAGCAGGAACAACGAAGAGGACACATAAGAGCATGGTATTTTCAGGGAACTGCAAGAAGCTCCATATGATTCAAACATCAAAAATGTCTGAAGTGGTGGCAGAGGGAGGCAAGATGATTTAGAAAGCTAAATCCAATCACTGGACAGTATCAAGATCTAGAACATAAGCTTCATGAAGACATGGTCTTATTCACTACTTTATTCTCAATGCCTAGAACAGTAACTGGTATACCAGTTAGGGTACAGTAAGGGTACCACGAATATCTACTGAATGAATTAGCAAAAGAACACTTCATTACGATGGCACTGAAGAATGGTGTCGTCCTTTTCCATTGCTATGGTCCAGAAAACTAATTACACCAGAGTTTAAGCCAAAATTTTAGATATTCTGAAGCTTAAGCAAGAGTGACTATCTAAATAAAGCCAGACTTGTAGATCTAGCTACCTGCCAAGAATTTAAAAACGAATATTTCGAGTTACATGAAAGTAAAGAAATATTGTCTATGTCAGAAAGTCATCTAAGCATATCCTTAAACTGTTAAACAAAAACCCAAAAAACAATAATTAATCCATTTCTCCTGCTTACTCAGGAAAACATTACTGGAAACAGGTCAAGAAGATACTTATACTTTTATAGGAAGCATTTTGGGCAGAACAAATTTTAAAAGTTGATTAAACTCAAAAAGTTGCCATTACAAATACTGCCTGACCAAGCTCAGAAACAACCTGACCTTGACAGCTACAGATGTGGGCAAGTGTCCTGGTATTCAAATTTAGAATCCTAAACTGAAGATAATTAGCCCATAAAGCAAAGCTGTTGACATTTTGTCCTTGCTTAGCCTATTTTTAAAAAAATCCTTAGAGAAAACTTGGTATCTTTTTTCTCACCCCCTAGAGTAGCTTGCTTAGGTATCGATCTTCACAAAACAATTCAGGGGATCTTGATTTAGAACAGGAAGGCTTAATGCCATGGAGCAGGGGAAGGAGGATGCCTGAAGATGCATGGCTAACATTCAAGAACCATACATCGAATCTCAGAACTTCACGTGGTAGAGCATCTTTCACGTATAGTCATCTGTGCACCAAATATGCCTTCTCGAATTTAAACATGACCAGAACAACTCACAACAGTGATGTGGGAAAACATAGATCCTGATGATACCAGGCTCCAATCTATTTGCACACTATGGGATTCTAGACACAGAGTCTAATCTGCCTTTAACAAGCATTAAATTCACCAGTATAGCCAGCACACATTCTTAAGGCAGAGGCTGGAGCTTCCATACAGTATATTAGGAAAACTCCACTTCCTTAAATTCATGTTTTCATCTACCATTTCAGGATCTGATTATCTTCTAGAAAATCTGAATCATTATACACATATACTCTAATTTTGGAGTTTGTATTACTTTACTTGCAGACCATGAAATGAGCTTTTCCACAAAAAGAGTCCTTGACTATCTCACTGGTAGAAACCCTTGGACTTTCTAGGAAATATTAGGAAAGAGGAATTGTTCTGATACTACAGAGATGTCTGGTTACATGCCAATGAAAAAAGGCCCCATGATAACAATAGGTATAAATCTTAGCACCTAAGCCCCAAATGAAGGAGTTCTAAATATTGTGCTCTGCACAAAGTCCTTGATAAATGCTGACAGACTGAAAATCCTATGAATGACCTACCTCGGAACGGTGGAATTTACATGTTAATATTCAAGGAACAAAAGGGAAAACTGTGATCTCACAAAAAGCATGTATTTAACAACATATTATTTCCTGAGCAAGCACCTACTAGAACAATGTTTTAGGCTCTGCAGATACAGTTATGAACAAAAACAGAGTCTGTAATCTGATAGAACTTACATTTCAGCAGGGGGACACAGACCACCAACAAATAATAAAAAACTTATACAATATTGGCAGGTAATGATAAAAAGAAAAAGAAAAAGAAGCCCAGGGGCTGGCCCTGTGGCTCACTCAGGAGAGTGTGGCGCTGGTAGCCCCGAGGCCGCGGGTTCGGATCCTATACAGGGATGGTCGGTGC